AATTTCTCTAATGACTTCTCCTACTCTCGACTCCCTATAGAGTCTAGCCAACTGTGCCCTCTTCTGCCTCAACTCTCTCTTCCACCGCCCAAATCTTGCATGACTCCATAACTGCAGCCCACCCTCACAAAATCTGAAAGCCAATGGAACAGTCTGAAAGGGTTCGGACTGTCTCTCTTCCACCCAATCCAGAGCCCTAGCTATCATATACCACCTTATCATAATCCGACTTCTTCTGCCAACAAGGTTCATATTTAAAAGGTTTATTCCTCTCTCTACGCCCCCTCTGCCCCGTAGTGCAGAGATCGGTCTATGGTTAGAACTCATGAAGTCACAGTGTTGTACAACAGCTAATGGGAAAGTCTCCCACCACCTACTATTACAGCAAAGCCTTATCCAGCTTTTCGAAAATGTTATGATCCCCATGTCTATTATTATTCCAAATACACATCTGAACAATACATCCCAAGTCCTCCCTACAATCAGACACAACATTTCTAAAATTTAGCATAGATGTACAGGACCTAACAGACCACATTTTCCAGCATCAGATAAAATTTAATTGAAATCCACCCCCACAGATCCAAGGTAAAACGTTAAGACCAGCCAAATCAATGTAACAAATCCCAAGAAACATGTCCATCCATAGGCGTAGAAATCTGTGAATCGCCAGAGCAGGCAGCAGACTGTCTGATGACTGCATCAAAATCCAAATTATTTTCCCATTCACCATATAGCCTGGTTTCTGACAAAATAATCAAGCTAGGGAAGGCACTACGAACCACCTCCCACCACACCCGTCTCTTGCCCAGTTTCCCCGTGCCCTGCACATTCCAGCTACTAACTCATTGGTATCTGAGCCCTACTCAACAGGGTCCACCACTGGTTCAATATGAGTGATCGCCTCCGCAATCCCAAGGTCAACAGAGTGTCCGTTCGAACTCCTTGCCTGATTGATTGAAAGTGCAGCCTTCTTCTTCACCAGTTGCCTCTCTTTCACCACCTCCCTACTCGCCTCTCATTCCTCGCCTGCCAAACCAACCTCCACCTCCTCCACCCCAGCGTCAAATTACGCTTAACAAAGCACCGCCCTCAACCCCACCACCACTTCCAAGATTTCTTGCAGCTTGTTTCACTCTCCACCACCCTTCAGTTTCGAAGAGGCGAAAGTGACCTCCCTATCCCGTCTTCTTTATACGAATCTTTAAAGGTCACTATCAAAAAAGCTAAATCTATCTATTTACACACAAATAAGGAATTTTTAGAAAATTTCCTTTTTTTTCATTTTGACCGTTAAGAGAAGCCCTTTAAAAAATGTGTAAAGAAAAACCAATTAATATTTAAGTAAATTAAAGAAGTAACCCACATAGACTAAAGACTGTTTTAAAGACATTAAATTTGTCAAACAAAATGAATCTGCAAAACTTGAATCCATAGCACCACTCAACTGCCACTTGGGCACAGCATCATCCACAACCGTGGATTGAGGCCAAGCCCAGAAAATTTCTCGCTATTGACAGAATTTGATACCTTTACACAAATAACTCAAGATAAAGAGAGATCTTCCCCTATAAGGACATAAAACTTGCAACAAGTTTATAGTCTCAGTTAAAGATGAAAGAAGGAAATCACCAATTACATTTACTACGCTCAGGAAAACAGCACCCTTTGGCCTGGTAAAAATGCACATAAAATCTGCTAGTTGTCGGAACTGCCAGATGCTATCTTTTCACTTTTGGATGTCTCCAAAGCAGCTGCCACAGGGCTACTGCCAGCGGATATCCTGTCAATGGTGGAATCACCAGCACTTCTGGTCACCTCTGCATTGACCACCCTCATTGAGGTGGTGGAGTTAGGGGAACTTGAACCAGAAACACGTTGATCAGGTTGCTTTGGCTTATTCAGGGCATTGCAATGTGGGCAGTAATAAGTTAGGTAAGGAAAGTCCTCTTTCCTTGCAAGCCCTGCAAATATGAAAATGTACAATTGAATTATGTAAAATTTGAAACAGTTCGATCTAAAGTTACTTTAATAATTCATTTTACCATTGTGCATATGACAGTTTCCACATATAAGCGCAACAGATTGCGTCGGATCCTCCCCCACAAGCAGTGCTGCAATTCGAGCAATCCATCCGCCATCATGTGTACTTGAACCTGTTTGATGATGATGCTCCACAACCACCTGTTGATGCTCGGAAATATCAGGACTCTCAAATTCTGCAAGATTAAGCATTTCTTCTTCAGGATGATGCACGTTAATGCTGTTGGATTTTGTATGAGATGGCTTCCGATTTCTAAGTCCACTAGTCCTTTCAGCTTCCACTTCGTTGCTCTTTCCAGTTGGGGCATTCAGCTTAGACTCATCCGCCACATATACTTTCAGACCAGAATCTGCGCCTAGCTTGGATGCCAGGACAGTTGCAGCAGCTGCCTTGGCTGCTGGATCAAGGTCATACCTCTGCACTGAAGATTTGATATAAGGATCCAATTCATTTCAAATCAGCTAAAAACGAGCATCAGATGCTCTCTACATGGAAGTTATTGAGAAGAGTCTTATAGAGAACACCTCAAAAATAAGTCAACTATCTATAGCCTCATCTTTGAGCAATCATTCCCATTTTTAGCTTGGCATCGATAATACGAAATATTAATATAAGCAGAACATACAGCTAGCTTCCAGTCATCACCTGTATTAGCTGCTGAGTGGTGTAGTAGTTTGTCCTCTCCTTTAGTTCATCTATTTTTGCTTGCCTCTCAGCCCGAAGCTTTTCCAATGTTTTCTGGTCCCTTCGATCACCTGTAGAATCATATCAGACGAGACATACAATAATGAGGAGCTCTGGGAGAGCATTTGAAATGTTTCATGAAAGAATCCGTTGTTTTATAATATCTTAAACATGATCCCAATCTAGCTTATAATTACTGAAAGAGAAGCAATTATTATGCAGAGCAGAGAAATATGATACTTCCTGTCTTCCTAAAAAGTAGAAGAAATGTCATAGTTCACAGTGGGAAGAGGGAGGACAGAAACCAAATTGGCATGATGATTGATTTTTTAACATTCGAATAGTACATGGAAACAAGGGAGCAGCAGAAATGGGGGTAGTGGGATGAGAAGCATGGACACCGTCCTCCCCCAATCTGCCTCTGCTTTCATTTTTGCTCCTACTCCACCCCATTCCTTCTCCTTTCTGTTCCCTTAATTCCACACAGCAGCAACACCTAGTTCACTTTCAAGTCTTTCTTACTCCCTCGCTACACTTGATTTCACTCCAATCCTCTGATTTGTGAAAAATCAAGAAATGAAGGAATCAAAGTGCTTTTAATACAAGTGCTTTTGCTTTAGCAAGGGCATTCAAAGCAAAAGTCAGATTTTTGCGTTTGTTTTCCAATTGAAAAGATAAGAACATTTTGATAATCCATACAGTTGGAAGCTAGTTAACAATCCATTTCCAATCAAACAATCCAATGGGACTAAAAATAGTGAAATACATATATAATTGCTTTTCTCCGTGAAACTAAAGATTAGCAGACTGATAGAAACTCCAAAAAGAAAAACGTAGAAATACATATCCTGCAAACAGCCAATTAATATGCAACAAAACCATTGCAATTGTTTTACTCTGTAAAGATGCACTATGATAGTATCAGACTTCTAAAAACACCAAAATGAAAAGTTCAGAGATGCATGTTGTAAGGACCCAGGTGTCTATACCCAAGCCGTTAGCTTATGTGTTATCCGCTTTAGGTGGGCATATACCCACTTAACTTCTTGCCCAATTGGTACCGGGATTCGACTTAAGTTTCTTAGTAGACAGAAGTCTTAAGTTCGAATCCTAGGGGACGCAATAGAATGCCGTGATGCCGGGATTCGACTTAAGTTTCTTAGTAGACAGAAGTCTTAAGTTCGAATCCTAGGGGATGCAATAGAAAGCCGTGATGGGTTAAGTGGGTATATGTCCACCCAAAGAGGACAACACGTAAGCTAACAGCTTGGTTATAGAGACTCGGGTCATTACACATGTCGTGCAGAACTGTCTAATCATTTCCCTCGTCCTCTTTATCCTTTCCATGTGGAACTTTTTTTATTCCTTAAATTTTTCTAAGGGTTACCAATTGAATTGGAGATGTTCTTTTTGTTTGTACCTCTCTTGGCATGCAACAGAAAAGTTCGGGAACTCCTTGAGAATGACCTATCGTTTTATAAGATAGAATTTATGGTAAGGTACCATGGGATTTGCTTAGCCTCAGTTCTCTCCCTTATAGATTAACGAACAGATAATACTCTGTCAACAGAAAAAGACAAGAAATAGCATTGAAATACTTACACATCCTTGTGAAGCTTCCAAGTGCTGAATATATAATGGAAGATAATGCAGGCAGAAGAAAAATTGGCAAAACTCGCAAAGCTCTCATTTTCCAGTCCAAGTCTAACGATCGTGTAGTCATGATAGCATAACCCACTGCAATAACCTGAAAAATTATGACAACCTTTGTAACCAAAACTCTTATACAAAAGAACAGACTACATTAAAAGAGAGACACATCTATCCAACACAAACCTTTAGGACCAACTACTCATCTACCAGAGAGAAACATCACTGTATTAGCATGAATTATCAGTACACATGTTTCTTAAGTCAGCAACATTGCAGTGAAGTCACTGTATTTGCATGGAGTAAAGAGAGAGAGAGTGTAGCCACAGTGCAACAAATTATAAACATCATTCATGGGAGTAAGTAAAGGCTATTCAATTTAGCGACATTAATATGGTATATTTCCTAGATCTGTTAACTTAGGAGTAGTATCCTGTCTTTTACACTACAGAAAGTAACGTCAAAAATAACTAATTGTTATCTCCTGTTATTCGAGATGGAAGAGAATTATGTATTCTTCAATTTGATTGGAAAAAGAATACATATATATATACAAAACCTAGGAAACTATATTAGGAAACTAGAATTATGTATTCTTCAATTTGATTGGAAAAAGAATACACACACACACACACACACACACACACACAAAACCTAGGAAACTATACAAATTAGGAACCTAGAATTAAGGGCTTGTCTAGGATTGCTTAAAAATTGGATTAAAAGTCATTTTTTGAACGTTACGTTGTCCAACGGTAACTATTTCAAAGAAAGCTGCAGAATATGTGTCACGTGTGTCAAAAGATAACAGACAAAAAATCAATTTCTCATTTCCAAAATCTGCACCAGATAAATTCTAAGCTAATTAATTAGCTGCATACACCTAATAACACTCCCCCTCAAGTTGGAGTATAGATATTAATCATGCCCAACTTGTTACAAAGATAAGCAACCCGAACCCGATTCAGAGCTTTCGTGAAGATATCCCCTAATTGTTCTACAGTCTTCACATACCCTATAGAAATCAAACACTGCTGAATTTTCTCCCAAATAAAATGACAATCAATTTAATGTGCTTAGTTCGCTTATGAAATACAGGATTGGATGCAATGTGATA